AACCACCAACCAGTGTCATGGTATGTCATCCTCAGTTTTGAGACAAAAATATCGGATAAGGCTGATGAGCGTAGTCACAATGACAACCTCAGCAGCTGAGCGCAAACAATGGCGACTTGTGAGGCTTCAACGCTGCCAGTGAAAATAGAACATGTTTCGGGGAATCATAATTAAAATCAATCAACATCAATTCAGTATACCTTAAAGTTCTGAAAGCCAATCTTTCACTGGAAACTGTTGATATCTGTTGATCTAAGTTGAGCCAGTTGAAGAAGCCTTCAATGACGGATGCCACTTGCGATGCCAAGAGACGAAAATGATGCCGGAAAGAAGGCAAATCGCTATGACCTCAGAGGCGTCGATGAGATGTGAGATGACCTCCATGTATGTCATATGTTTTTGGCATGTCGGCATGTCACGCAAGTTGTGGCACCACACTTTGCCGGTGCATAGTATGTCATATTATGATCATAAATTATGTTACCCTCTGGTTATTTAACATAGCCATGGAAAATCGCAATTTTTTATAGGTAAACCATCTATAAATGGGCCATTTTCCATGGCTATGTTAAATAACCAGAGGGTATATTCATCTTGATTCATCTTGCTCTTCCTTATCATCCGGCAACACCACTGGCGAAACCGGCCGAAGCAGCTTCTGGCATATCAAAGATGCTGACAGCATCAAAGCCCCTTGCAATTGCACGGCTCAATCTTTCCCAGTTGTCAAGACACGCTCTTCCAAACAAAACGCCCTGATAGGAAGGATTTTTCAAAGGGGGTTGTAGGTCCCCAAAGTGTACCTGAAGTGGATCACTACTGGTCCGGAATCTTTCGGATATCCTTGCTTTGTTATCTTGAATTTTCCTGTGCATACTGGGGAAAATTCACCAGCCCCCATGTGGTTGTTGTCAATGGGAAATGCCCAAATCCATTGGTCGAACCTCAGATTAGCCGAGGGCACAGGTTTGCCAACACACCCATATTTATTTGCAAAGTGACGGGTTTCCAATGGTTTCAGGTCCAACAAACTCTTCCCGTGCGAGTGACTGGCATTGCAGCGTTGTTTCGCGTATCCGACGGGGCCGCATTCACCAAGACAACCTGAAGTTCAAAGGGCGTTGCAACACCTGGTGTTGAACACCCAGAAAAAAATCTCACGTTCCCAGCAAAATGTGATTCCATGAAAAGGATTCCTCCGGCTACACTTTCAAAAAACACATTTATATAATTAGCCCTGAAAAAAATGGCAGAATCTTCTAACAGCTGCAACGCGCAAAATTCGATCACCTTTTCTGAGCGCATGTGAGAAAACAACCAGCCGTAGGTTTTTTTTTAATGTTTCTGTACGTCATTGCCTCCAATGGACCCAAAACATGGTGACCCACTATGGTTACCCGCCAAACACAACAGACATAGGGTGGATTGTTGCGAAATCCTGCACCAGTTGATAGACGGTAAACATCCCATTATTTATAGGGTTTCAACATGTTTCAACCATCCTTTTGGTGGTGCAGGATTTCGCAACCATCCACCGTATCAGTACTATATCTTCTTCGCTTGCCCTTCACCGCAACGCCCAGATGCTATGCCAAAGGCCAAGGCCAAATCGATGAGATTCAAGAGAGGCAGTTTCCAAGGCCAGGCACTGGCCAGTAGAAACCTCAACGGGGCGCTGATTTGCCACTTTAAAAAAATGATACCCTCTGGTAAACTATGGTAAACATACAAAAAGCTTTTGAAAATGGTGATTTATCGTGGATTTACCCATTAAAAATGGTGATTTTCCATAGTTACGTTAGTTTACCAGAGGGTAACAGTGCCTCCTAGTAAAGCCACCGACATTCTTCGAGAGATTTTCAAACAAAGGGGAAAGGACAATCTTCCGCAAGCACGGTAGCCCCATGGAATAGTCTGACTGGAAAGCCGTCAGTGGTATTGCTTTTATTCACTCACAAATTGGAGGTGTTCCATGGCGGTTACCGAATGGTATCTGCCAAGCTTGCTCAGCTCTGTTCAGGCAAGGCGCCCGTAGAAAGTCAGAATCACACCTCATTGCGCCAAGGATACTGATCCATGGCATATCCATGGTGTGATGGCTTTGTTGCTGGCAAAAACCCTCTGTTTTTTGGAAATGGTCTTGGAACCCCCTAGCTACAAGAAAGGTTGGAAAGAACAACCCGGAAAAACAACGAATTGTTGAAACATGTGCTAGAGAGCAGTGTCAAAATCCAACCATGGGGCAACAAAATCGAGAGGTCCCTTGGTCTCGTCCCCATTTTGGTTTCTTCTGTCCATATTCTTTACCATCTCGTTATTTAACATAGCCACGGAAAATCACCACATTTCATAGGTAACTTGAGATAGGTAAAACAACTATAAATGGGCAATTTTCCATAGGGTAATCATTATGTTTTGTATCCCTCCCTTTTTTGTCAAACTTTTCTGTGGATCAATACCCCTGTTCGTTTTAGCCCAAGCTTTTCAAGTCTTCCGTCTTCCACTTCAATTTTCTGCTTCATCAGCCGATTTCAACATACCATCCGGTAACCTACTAACAAAAACCCAAGTCAATTTATGTGCGTGCCATCTAATGGAAACCAAGGAAAATCAGACACAATCTACCATTGGTCCCAGCAAATCCATCTAGTCGTCCATTGACAAACACCATGACATTTCCCATTTCAAGTTGGGATTACCTTCCATGCAATCCCATCATCGTATCACCATATCTTGTTGACTCATTTTAACATCATGTAAAATATGGATCATAATCCCAAACATTGGGGGATTAAAAATATCAAGCACATTAAATATATTAGGATTATGATTGGATGATCATCCAACCCCACTATTTACAGTAAGATTCCTGTTAAATATATCTATTAATATATCTGCGTTGGAATATAAACCATTGATAATATACCAAATAATGTTAAATAAACCATACTACATCAATATATATACATATACATATATATATATATACCTATATGTTCTATATTTTTCTTGGGTAAATAATGTTAAATAACTTATCATATCCATATTGGTTGATCATCCCCCAATCTTTTTCCGACGAGGCACCAATGGACTGCACCTGCAAAGCCGGAGAGTCGATGGCCAGGACCAAAGCCAGCGACAGCAAGGGACCTGGGACAGCACACATCGTTGCCATGTATTATACCCTCTGGTAATTTAACATAACTATAGAAAATCACTACTTTTAATGGGAAAATCAACTATAAATGGTCATCTGGTTGGTGGTTCTAACCATCTTGAAAAATATGAAAGCCAACGCGAAGGATTATCCCATATATTATGGAAAATAAAAAACGTTTGAAACCACTAACCAGTCATAAATGGAATTATAAACGGTTATACATTCTATCATTCTAAAATCCCATTCGAACTGGTGATTTCCCATAACTGCATCCCACAAAAAAGGAGATTTTGCGAGAAAACATAGTGGATTTAGCTGAAGAGATGAACATTTCACCCGAAAACTGGGTGATTGAAATTGGACAGTACAGATACAACGTGATTTAGCCATCTAAATTGATCAAAATCCATCAGTCAAAAACGCTTACGGATGACAAGGATCCAACCATGGAAACTGAAACTTGCGAAGGGGGGACACGAAAGGCAGTTGTGTCGCAGGTGACGCAGGTGAGTGATGATAATAAGATGGCAGGGTGGGTGGTCGATGCTGTGTGCTGCTGATGATGATGATGATGATGATGATGATGATGATGATGATGATAATGCAGGGCCACTTGACTCAATCGATGCTAACCCTGGCGCACTAAACCCCTGATGGTGCAAAATCATCAGTGGCTCCGACCGTTTCCTTCTCACATGTGTGCTAAACGTCAGAATGCCATAACAAGGCATCAAAAATCCACTAATTGTTCCACTTGTTGTAGATGATCCACATATTGAAAATGAAAATTATCCGTTGGTGTCTTAGATTATCAGAGGGATCCAGAAAAATATAGCCGTGGTTCAAAAAACTGCTGCCTAGTTACCATCCAAGTTAGGCTCCCATGGGTGGGGGTTATTCCGAACATGGTATCATGGGCCATATGATCATCAAATAAACATCAGAATCCTTAATAAATCATAAACAACCGAGCGCTTGGGTAAATGTATGACGACGGTGATGACAATGATGATGATGATGATGATGATGATGGCGATGGCGATGGCGATGACGATGTTGTAGATGATGTAGATGATGATGATGATGACGATGACGATGACGATGATGATGATGGTGGTGGTGGTGGTGGTGATGATGACGATGTTGAGCCATTCAGAAAACCATCCGCGGTCCAAATGGAAGGAAGGTACCATCTGATCTGGGGAGGGGAGGAGGGGGTGAGGGGGGAGGGTGGGAGGGGGGGAGAGGGGGGGGTCCCTTTCTCCTGGTCGTTCAGGGATAAGGGGTCCAGCCCACCCCTTTGCTTCGCAAAGTAAAACTCAAGGTAGCCCGTTGGGAGGCTACCTTTCGTGAAAAAAATGCTGTGCAACAAAAAGCATTGAAGAATGGAAACCACGGAAGTAATCATCATCACTTGAAGCTGGTTGGTGGTTTCAACCCCTCTGAAAAATGATGGAGTTCGTCAGTTGGGATGATGAAATTCCCACTAGATGGAACAATTCAAAATATTCCAAGCCACCAACCAGCTTGTTAATTGATCATGGGAAATAGTTGTGGCGGTGAAACCATCAGTACTCGCATTAGTCCTAACCAGCTATCAAAATGGGTATTTTGACAGCCCAACATGTCAACAGTGGCCTCCAGGGATTCAAAATGGGGTCCAAGATGCCACATGTCAACCTTCACTGAGGCTACTTTCATTGTGTAACAGTGTTTGATGGGTAAGTGGGTTTATCATGGTGTGTATATGACTGTATATGGTTCAACTCTTTCCATAGGCATCTAACGTTTCAAGCTGTGGACTCTAAGATGACGGCCGTTTTTTCTGAGATTGAGGGCTTCATCCCAAGAAGGGATCACATTCAGCATATCTCCGGCCTCGCGTCAGCAGGGGCACTTCATACCACCAACTGTCATGGCGAAAGCGGTTGATCAAGAATTGAAACCTCAGGTGGATATGGACATGGATTGAAGATGGGCGGGAATGGATCCAAACCGGGGCTGATACTTGCCATGATTGATCATGATTGAAGCCAATCCGAAAATAACCATTTTGCAGCTCTAATTGAAAAACTGTTGAACGAAGACATCCCCAACATCAGAAAGTACAAACACAAGTTAGTCATTCCACTTTCTTTCCGCAACCAAAGCAGTCAACCCCACCTCTTGTGAACCCAAGATTCGTATCTCAGTCGTCTTAAAGGCATGTTTTTTTTTTTTAATCTAGCAATCATCACTTGTGGCTTTCCAAAAAATGGGGGTACCCCAATAGTTGGATGGCTTACAATGGAAAATCATATGACCCTCTGGTAATTTAACGTAGCTATCAAAAATGACCCAGTCAAAATAGTTGATTTACCCAGTAAAATTGGTGATTTTCCAACGTTTTTTCTATGTTTACCAGAGAGATCCAGTGGATGATTTAGGGCAACCCCCCTCATTCAACGCCACCAGGAAGCATTTGAACTTTCCAAATCCTGGAATTCGACCAGTATGAAAAACAATAGGGGAGCGCACGCAGTATGATGATGATGATGATGATGATTATCATCATTTTTATAATTCTACATGGGGATTATTCAAAACAAAAGGGGATTAATTGTTATTCTTAACTATATATATTGTTATGATTATTTTGATTATTTATTAGCACTATTATTCTGATGATTGTTCTACATCATTATGATTATCATGGATATTATTGTGAATGCTACTGTTGATGTTATTATAATTATACATAGGGATTATTCAAAACAATAGGGGATTAGTTGTTATCATATATTATTGTGATTATGATAAGTATTACGATGACGATGATGATGATGATGATGATTTTTTCATCATCATCATCATCTTTATTATTATTATTATTATAATATATATATATATATTTGTAAATGATTTTTCCTAATTGACATTATTGGGCGGCCCCTTTTTCTGACCTTGGCTTGTTTTCTAACCTGGTCAACTTTTTTCAAAACCTTGGATCATTCCTTTCTTCCTTGGCCTAGCTTTGGCCTATTTTTTATTTAACCTTGCAACCTTTTTTTACTGGCGTTGGCCAAGTACCAAGGTAAAAAAAAAACGGCACGCTGTCAGAGTACTCACGAATATTAGATAACATCAAGGGGTATGACTGCAAGCCAAGCCTAAATTCACCTTCATTTGCCATTCTTTTTGGGCGAATCGGTTTTTGATAGTTTAAAGCAAGATTAAACAGTTCTTTTCAAGAAGTGCGGGAACAAACCATATTACAATATTCAACTTTCCTTCAAGGGTGCAACATCCTGAAAGGACAAAATCCTGCACCACATGCTGCCCGTGCTTCAAATATGCTGCCTTTCAGTCATGACAATGCAGCATGCAATGCAAAAATGGAACATGTAATGCGATAATGCAACAATCTTTTTGAAAAGACATGGTTCATGAATTCCAGCCTTCCTTGAAGACAATACAATACAATACTTCTGTCCAGAGGCTTGCAAAGCTAGACCAACAATGCTATGCTCCGTTTGAAGACATGTATTCTTTGTTTTCAATTCTCCAGCATTCCCAAAATGGAACCGCGTTCCTGTAAATGCCAGTATTCTTACAGGATGGTGCCTATAAGTTGGTTTATAAACCCCATGATACAACTATAGTTATATATCTACCATAAGCCATACTTAAGCCACTTAGAAATACTCAGACAGAAAGCAACTTAGCTATCTTTTGGGGGTCCCGTCCTGTACGTAAATAGTGTTCCTCCCCCTGCGGTGTCCTCCGCTGTGCAGTCCATGCTGGTAGCATGATGGTGGCATAGGCGCAGCCCACCAGGAAGAACAGGACTCCCACCACCAGCAGCATGATACCTGCCATACTGAAACTGGGCCACGTGAACCACCAAATTCTGTGATTTGAAGAGAGAAAGTGAGACATTGATGTCGCTGTCAGTAGGGAGTTTCCTGTTGCCTTCGCTTTACTGAAGTCTTATAAAGCTTCATGGCAGTATTGATTGGATGGGCGTCCCTTTTCAAACGGCGAAACCCGTGGGGAAAAAGACGCCGTTGCGAGCCTATGACCAGCATGAAGGTGTGCTGCTCTTGTCCGCAGATGACATCCGGATGCTTCAGCAGGCTGTGCCTTCACTTCAAAAAGCTGATCTGGTCATTATATGGTTAATATACTGTTAATATACTGTCAATCTATGATTATTATATGGTTAATGGTGGTTAATAATAATCTAGTTGGTGAGTTGGTGGTTAAAAAAACATATCGAAAAATGATGCAGTTCGTCAATGGGGTTGGGATGACATCCCATATATATCATATATGAAATGGAAAATACATACAGTAATTCATGTTTGAAACCAAAAGCAAAAAGCTGATGTTGAGACTTCAAGGACGGATCAGTGTTGCTTTGGAATGGGAGGAGTGGCATCACATGACTGTAACTGGGTTGGTGGTTGAGCCCACCCCTCTGAAAAATGATGGAGTTCGTCAGTTGGGATGATGAAATTCCCAATATATGGAAAATAAAATTCATGTTCCAAACCACCAACCAGGTAACCTCAATTACGGTAGTAAACAAACTCTTCATCCCATGGCCGAAGTCCCCTAACTTCCTTCAAGTCAATGTTTCACTCACCAAGACGTGCCCAGTGCTGGCCGTCATTTTCTGAACGCGGCTGCGACCAAGAGGCATTCCATTGGGATGACTGTAGCACATGAAGGGCACCAAGGCCAAGTTACTGATGGTGCTGAATTCCGTCATCAACACCTCGCAATGGCCAAACAAAACTTAACCACCAGGTGATTTAGGCGATCACTGGTAACACGTTTTTATGCAACAATATCCAAAAGTTCGTCGCTTAAACGCAGCAGATGCACCAATCAGCTCGACCCAAAGAGATTTATCCAGTGAATACATGAGATAAAAGACTTGGACCCCCTGTGAAAATGGTACTGGTAATGGGAACGAGATATCCCTAAAACATGATTGAATATGCTGTCCTGTCAGCTGTCTCTTTCACCGCCTGACCCATCAGCGATGCTGTGCGAGAAAATTTCCTGAGGCAGCAGCGACTGGCTGCCAGGATAGCAGCTAGCACCCCCCAGGCCCGATCAACTCCAACACCTCAAACCCCAGGAACATAGATCATTTAGTAACTGGTTGGTGGTTTCAACCCCTCTGAAAAATATGAAAGCCAGTTGGGAGTATTAGTCCCAATATATGGAAAATAAAATTCATGTTCCAAACTAACCAGGTAACTGCTTTTCTAGTGCTAAGACGTCACCATTCTGATGTGGTTTCCACAACTTTACCAAGCATCCACCGCCATTCTTCCTTCCAGAATTGCGAGACACGCCAAACCAGAAGCAGCCAAAGACACACCACTGGGAAACACATCGCGATAAACCTCAGTTTCCAATGGCCTTTGCCACATTTTGCCACCATCTGGGTCCGCTTTTTTGCCCGTTTTTTTGGGGTCAAAACCCACCGAAATGCGGAAAAACCATGAAGCAACAGATCCAACAGGCTTCGCCAAGGGACGCATAACAGGAGGCGGTCCGAAATCCAGGTAGTAAACCTTGCGAGCCGCAGATCTGAGCCCTGGATTTTCCAGTCGATCCAATCTATCCATATCTATCCAACCTATCCCAACTCCAATCTGCCAATATCCAAAGTATCTGGAGATATGCCGGATAAAACCATGAAACATCTCAGGCCGAAGTCATCCATGTCGAAGATCAAGAACTTCGCCTCGGTGGGAAACCATGGAGGAATCGGGCATGTGCCATATAGAATATATAGATTTTCCAAAGGAATGACAATTTTTAAACACTGGGGAAATCATTGAAATCATCCCATGTTTCTGGCGTTACTCGGACTTACCATTGGCGAATCTTCGATGCAAAAACCAAGCAGTTGGTTCATCCAACTCCCTGGTCGTCCTTGATCTTACCCTTCAAAATGATGCCCACAGAAAACACCATGAACATAGTAGGTAATCCCTGAGAGAATCCCAGCATTTTTACACGTTTGCACTTTTATATCAAACACCAGAAAAAAATACAACCAAAATTGGGTTTAGCGGTTTGGGTTTACCGCATATTCTTCTCGTTTTTTCTTGGGGATGTGAAGGGCTTCTCTCAGCCCCCGGGTCCATCGAGTGGCAAAGGCCAAGATGTCCTGTGCCTCTTCAGGCCAGTCGATGGTCATCTGACTGATGACCGCCATGGTTTGACCCAACTCCCAGAAGACTTGGCATACCATGCCTCAAGGGAGCGGAATGGCTATCATTTTCACCCCGAGGGTCCTGAAAGGGACGCGTGTTGTGGAAGAGAATAAGGGCTTAATGCGGGCCGGGCTTTGTTGATCATGAATGTCAACACGTGATACTGCAAGCGCATTCCAACAGCAAAATGGCCGATCTGGTACCGACAATTGCTTCATGGCTCAAAATCGCCATTACAATCTAAGCCAAACATGCTATAAATAAACTGTGGACCACGGGGTTACCCGGATATATAGACACTAAGAACATTCTGATCATATCGCCAAGATGCCGAAGCCATCCACCAGGTTGGCTCGTGCACTCACAAATTGCTTCGTTGCATGGTATAACAGGACCAAGCCGCCTAAAACCTCACAGGCGAACCAAGGAAGCATGGACCCCAGTATGCCAGTATATTTCTACATCTTCTATACTTTTTCCATCCATCTGTTGCCCCAGTTCTGTTTACCCACTTACTTAATCTTACCTATCCATAAATCCATTATGATTCCAAACTTTTGCTGATAAAAAACACGATTTCCACAATTTTTCTGCGCAAAACCACAAATTTTCCTAGCATTTGGGGTCCCCTTCCTGTAGAAACACATGAGGATCTGACTGCTGGGCATCCGAGGAGCAACTGCGAACATCAAACACCAAAGGATCGGGAAAGAGACCGGGCAATCCTGACATCCAAACAAGATGCAGCCCACGAACCCGAATGCTCACACGTATGTTAATGGCACAGCTGTCAAAACACATGGATATGCAATCACGCAAAACACTTTTCTGCAATAGCTTATTTGAACAGTCTTGTACATATTTCCCCTGTTAACAGTCTGCAGTGTGGAGTGTGGCGTGTAGCGTGTGGAGTGTAAAGTGTAGAGTGTGGACTGTAAAGTGTCAAGTGTGGAGTGTAAAGTGTAGAGTGTGGGGTGGAAAGTGTAGAGTGTGGAGTGTGGAGTGTGGAGTGTAAAGTGAGGAGTGCGGAGTGTATAGTGTGGAGTGTGGAGTGAGGAGTGTAAAGTGGAAAGTGTGGAGTGTAGAGTGTGGAGTGTGGAGTGGAAAGTGGAAAGTGTAGAGTGTGGAGTGTGGAGTGTAAAGTGAGGAGTGTGGAGTGTGGAGTGTAAAGTGTGGAGTGAGGAGTGTGGAGTTTGTAAATTGTAGAGTGTGGGGTGTGGAGTGTAGAGTGTAAAGTGTAGAGTGTAGAGTGTAGAGTGTGGAGTGTAAAGTGTAAAGTGTAGAGTGTGCAGTGTGGAGTGTAAAGTGTGGAGTGTGGAGTGTAAAGTGTAGTGTGTGGAGTGTGGGGTGGAAAGTGTAGAGTGTGGAGTGTGGACGGAGTGTAAAGTGTGGAGTGTGGAGTGCGGAGTATAAAGTGTAGAGTGTGGAGTGTGGAGTGTAAAGTGAGGAGCGTGGAATGTGGAGTGTAAAGTGTAGAGTGTGGAGTGTGGGGTGGAAAGTGTAGAGCGTGGAGTGTGGAGTGTGGAGTGTAAAGTGAGGAGTGCGAAGTGTAAAGTGAGGAGTGCGGAGTGTAAAGTGTGAAGTGTGGAGTGCGGAGTGTAAAGTGTAGAGTGTGGAATGTAAAATGTCAAGTGTGGAGTGTAAAGTGTGGAGTGTGGGGTGTAAAGTGTAGAGTGTGGAGTGTAAAGTGAGGAGTGCGGAGTGTAAAGTGTAAAGTGTGGAGTGTGCAGTGTAAAGTGTGGAGTGTGGAGTGTAAAGTGTAGAGTGTGGAGTGTGGAGTGTAAAGTGAGGAGTGAGGAGTGTAAAGTGTAAAGTGTGGAGTGTAAACTGTAAAGTGTGGAGTGTAGAGTGTAAAGTGTAGAGTGTAAAGTGTAGAGTGTGGAGTGAGGAGTGTAAAGTGTGGAGTGTGGAGTGTATAGTGTAGAGTGTTCAGTGTGGAGTCAGGAGTCTAAAGTGTAAATTGTGGAGTGTGGAGTGTAAAGTGTGGAGTGTGGAGTGTGGAGTGGAAAGTGTAGAGTGTGGAGTGCGGAGTGTAAAGTGAGAAGTGTGGAGTGTGGAGTGTAAAGTGAGGAGTGTGGAGTGTAAAGTGAGGAGTGTGGAGTGTAAAGTGTGGAGTGAGGAGTGTAAAGTGTAAAGTCTGGAGTGTAAAATGTCAAGTGTGGAGTGTAGAGTGGAGAGTGTAAAGTGTAGAGTGCAAAGTGTAGAGTGAGGAGTGTGGAGTGTAAAGTGTGGAGTGTGGAGTGTAAAGTCTCGAGTGAGGAATGAGGAGTGTAAAGTGCAAAGTGTAAAGTGTGGAGTGTAAAGTGTAGAGTGTGGAGTGTAGATTGTAAATTGTGGAGTGCGGAGTGTAAAGTGTAGAGTGTGGAGTGCGGCGCTTCCCCCATAGACACGGTGACGCCACAGGAAAACCAGAGACTCGAGACGAGACACGTGGGTGCAGAAAAACGAGCATTTCATGCGAGACTTCATCCAATTTTGACATTTTCGACACGTTATCAAACAGGTTGGAATGTCACAAAGTGCCACGCCTGCCACGCAAAACGACATGACAACCTGCGTGGAAACATTCGAAAAGGAGAGGTTTTGCGGCTTCCCCCATAGACACGGCGAAACCACAGGAAAACCAGAGACTCGAGACGAGACACGTGGATGCAGAAAAACGAGCATTTCGTGCGAGACGTCCTCCAATTTTGACATTCTCGACACGTTATCAAACAGGTTGGAATGTCACAAAGTGCCACGCCTGCCACGCAAAACGACATGACAACCTGCGTGGAAACATTCGAAAAGGAGAGGTTTTGCGGCTTCCCCCATAGACACGCCGAAACCACAGGAAAACCAGAGACTCGAGACGAGACATGTGGGAGCACCACAACGAGCATTTTGTGCGAGACGTCCTCCAATTTTCACACTTTGAAGCATGCCGAAGAGACATGTTTTGCAGCTTCCCCCATAGACACGGCGAAACCACCATAAAACCAATGACGCGAGACGAGACAGGTGGAAGCACCAAAACGAGCATTTCGTGCGAGACGTCCTCCAATTTTCACACTTTGTAGCTTCAAAATCGACGTTTTCCTACGAGTTTTCCTTAGAACATGAAAATTTGCAACCTCAAAATCGATGTTTCGTGCGAGGCTTCCGTCAATTTTCACCACATCGCACAAAATGCCACGCCTGCCACGGAATTTGCACATTGTCGCCACTTGACGCAGCCCTGCCAATGCGATTTACAAAAAACACGCAACACGACACGTCTAAAGTGCTGCGCCTGCCACGAAAAATGACGATGGACACGTCCAAAGTGCTGCGCCTGCCACGAAAAATGCAAGACATCTTGTGAAAACGTCGCGAAAGTATTGCACCTGCCACACAAAACGACTTTCGACACGTTCCAGAACACGTCTGAATGTCACGAAGTGCCACGCCTGCCACGCGAAACGAAGCAACGCCACGTCTGAAACCTCCAAAAATGACAACCTCTGCAGAACTTCCCATAGGCACGGCCATATGGTCCTCGCGCGGACGGTTGCGAACGGTTGCGGACGGTTGCGAACGGTTGCGACCGTGAACGCAACGTCGAGCGAACACACCCTCAACCCCCAGACCCCCAGAGTGAAACGGGAACCCTTGCTACGCATTCGGGAAAAAGAAAACATGGCTGGGGGGTCATGGGGTCATGAAGTAGATCATCCCAGTCATAGGGGTATAATCCCCACTACCTTAGAGGATGGGGTAGGGATGGGGTATACCAAATTCATACATCGATGGTTTGTGGCTGCCATAATGATTAAATCAAGGGGAAATAAGCAATTTGGTCAATGTAACCTCGACATTTGGAAAATTGCATGAAAAATCAACCATTCACGGATGATATTCCCAGCTATGCACCTCCATTTGTAGTGGAGGTTCCCATATTTTTCATATTTTCCTATAGGTTTTTGTCCCCTTAAACCCAGCATTTTTCGTTGCGATTTCGGTCCTGGCACCGGCCTTGCAGCCACGTCTGGCCCTTGGGACAGAGCGAACACGGGATGCCGCGACGGCCGCCAGCGCAATGCGCCGGGGCTCCACCGGGGCAGTGGGACGTACTGCGACATTTGAAGATGCTCCTTGGGGGATGGCCGATGGATTCAGAGGAAGATTGAAACTGAAAACATCTGGCAACTATATAGTTATAGATTTAATATATATATATATATAAAATTATATATAAATAAATAAATAAATATATATATATATATACCAGTAGTACCCGCACGAGGCGGGGCGGAAGTTGCCTTAGGGATATATAAGACCTTTCTCATCTATAGAACTTGCATGCGCCGTCCGCCAGCCAGCCCGTGCGTGCGTGCATTCTGCGAAAGTGGTGTCCTGTTTCGCATGTCACATTTGAAGCTCCACTTCGCATTTCACACTTCTCACTGCACTCTTCACACTCCACACTACACACTTCACACTCCACACTTCACACTGCACTCTTCGCACTCCACACTTCATTTCACACTGCGCTCTTAAGACTCCACACTTCACACTTCACACTTCGCAGTCCACACTTCACACTTCTCACTTCTCACTGCTTTCTTCACACTCCACACTTCACACTTCACACTCCACACTTCACACTCCACACTTCACGCCCCACACTTCGCACTGCACCCTTCACACTCCACACTTCATCTCATCTGATCTCTTCTCACCTTATCCCAGCTCATCTCTTCTCATCTCATCTCTTCTCATATGTCATTTAAGCTTTCATGAATCACTTCCCAGTACTACTTCGAGAACTTGCACGCGCCGTGCGCCAGCCAGGCCCGTGCGCGCGTGCTTTGTGCGAAGCTGTTGCAGTGTTGTTTTCCAAGAACATGACCCGCGCGCGACCCCGGTGCAATGCAACGTCAAGCAAACACTTTCCTCACACTTCACATTGCACTCTTCACACCCCACACTCCACACTTCACACTTGCACTTCATCTCAACTCATCTCATCTGAGCTCTTCTCATCTCATTCCATGTCTTCCCATATGTCAGCTCAGTTCTTCTTGGCTATTTTCATGTCAAGTACTTCCCAGTACTGATGTCTACTACAAAAGCTTGCAAAAACCACTTCCCAGTACTACTTTGTACTACAAAGCTTGCACAAAACACTTCCCAGTACTACTGTGTACTACAAAGCTTGCACAAAGCACTTCCCAGTACTACTTTGTACTACAAAGCTTGCACAAAGCACTTCCCAGTACTACTTTGTACTACAAAGTTTGCACAAACTACTTCCCAGCACTACTTTGTACTACAAAGCTTGCACAAAGCACGTTCCAGTACTACTTTGTACTACAAAGCTTGCACAAAGCACGTTCCAGTACTACTTTGTACTACAAAGCTTGCACAAAGCACTTCCCAGTACTACTTTGTACTACAAAACTTGCACAAACTACTTCCCAGTACTACTGTGTACTACAAAGCTTGCACAAACTACTTCCCAGTACTACTTTGTACTACAAAGCTTGCACAAAACACTGTTACAGTACAAAGCTTGTACTACAAAGCTTGCACAAAGCACTTCCCAGTACTACTTTGTACTACAAAGCTTGCACAAAGCACTTCCCAGTACTACTTTGTACTACAAAGCTTGCGCAAAGCACTTCCCAGTACTACTTTGTACTACAAAGCTTGCACAAAGCACTTCCCAGTACTACTGTGTACTACAAAGCTTGCACAAAACACGTTCCAGTACTACTTTGTACTACAAAGCTTGCACAAAGCACTTCCCAGTACTACTTTGTACTACAAAGCTTGCACAAACTACTTCCCAGTACTACTGTGTACTACATAGCTTGCAAACAGTACGTTGCACTACTACTTTGTACTACAAAGCTTGCCAGTACTACTTTGTACTACAAAGCTTGCACAAACTACTTCCCAGTACTACTGTGACCAAGCAACCTTGACGCAGCCATTACAACGCGATCTGCAGAGACTGAGTTGCAAAACGCAATAGAACTACGCGCAACGGCGTCAGAAATTGCAGCTCTCAAACCGGATCTCGACGCCAAAGCAGAAAAAAGACGATTTTGAAGCACTTTTAATAATGATTTTTAAAAGGAAAATTACTAGCGCCAAAATTGCGAAAATCTGCTGACAAATCACTATCGCAGCCTGGGTGCAGCCACTCCAATACGATTTACAATCTTCAGCTGCAAAAGACAATAGTATTACGCATGCAGCCGCGGCACCAAGCAACCTTGACGCAACCATTACATTGCGATCTGCAGCAACGGTGTCGGAAATTGCAGCTCCAAAACCGGATCTCGAGCCAAAGCAGAAAATGACGTTTTTGAAGCACTTTTAAAAATGATTCTTAAAAGGAAAATTACTAGCGCCAAAATTGCGAAAATCTGCTGACAAATCATTATCGCAGCCTGGATGCAGCCACCCCAATACGATTTACAATCTTCAGCTGCAAAAGGCAATAGTATTACGCATGCAGCCGCGGCATCAAGCAACCTTGACGCAGCCATTCCAATGCGATCTGCAACCACGGCTTCAAGAAACGCATAGCACTACGCACACAGGAACAACCATTGTCGCAAAACACATAGAAGGAACCAAACGACCGCAGCCGCACCCGCCACACACACGAGGTACCTTTCATCGCCGCCTGCAGCCACTTTACACGGAAAAACACAAGGTTTCGTGCTCCGGCTTCCTCCCCAAAACAAAGCCCATGCAACATTCATGCAGGCATTCCAATGCGATCTGCAACCACAGCTTCAAGAAACGCATAGCACTACGCACACAGGAACAACCATTGTTGCAAAACACATAGAAGGAACCAAACGACCGCAGCCGCACCCGCCGCACACACGAGGTACCTTTCATCGCCGGCTGCAGCCACTTTACACGGAAAAACACAAGGTTTCGTGCTCCGGCTTCCTCCCCTCAACATAGCCCATGCAACATTCATGCAGCCATTCCAATGC